AAAAAGAAAAAGAAAAAAAAGGTAAAGGAAGTCGCGAGGGTTTATCGAGCGAGTTCGGAGGAACGCGAAGGCTTCAACTTGTCTGCACGCCATTAAAATGTCATAGCCGCGACCGAGCCTACACTTACACGTGATACTCCCCACACGTGTGTGATGTGACGTGGATCCGTACAAGGTGATTCATAAAGCGCCAATATCCATCGAACCAATCTGTAATTCATCGAAACGAATAAATGAATGCAATGTATCTTAGTTTTCGAGTGGATGGAAACGTTCGTTTTCTTTTTCCAAGTTGAACGATTCGGATATAAATTAAGTCACGATCTTTGAAAATATCGAGTACCTATCGAAATTAGATGTATGAATTATATATACGCTTTGGTAATCTGAACGTAAACGTAATTAATAGCAAAAAAAAATTATTAGAGTCATTAAGTGGTTCAAAGCAAGGGAAATCAAACGATGGAGTATTGGAACAATTCAAAGAAACTTGCACCCTTATTTAAACGAGATGAAAAACTGATTCGTCGATCGGATCGAAAGTTTTGAACGCATCGCGAGCAAGTGGCATTCTTTCATTCCCTTTAACCGCGAATAAACCGTTTTTATTTTGGATTGATAACGCAGTTATGAATCGTCCTGTACGGGAGCACACATTCCCATATGTCTCTCTACAAGTCCGAATATACCGGATATGTATTACATATGCCTTTTCAACGACTCGGCTACGGGGTTGATCGCGACGACGGGGAAGATTGAATAATTTCCACCGCTCGTTTAATAATTGATATCGACTACACGCGGTTTAGCCATCCTCGCGAGCCATCATCCTCGACGACGAGTCGGCCGCCACTCGGTGGAACGGCTGCTGGTCTAAAGATACACGAACTCAATTAGAGAAAATTCATATTCCGATCGGTGCTACCGATTCCTCCAATATACATATATATATATATATATATATATATATATATATATATATGTATCACGCCTTCTCTCTCGATTCCTTCGTTTCAAACCCCGCTTCCTTCGTATCCATCGCGAATTAATAACGATCCCGTTAATAATGATTTCCCTAAATCCGTACGTTTCCTATCCCACACGCGCGTTGACAATGTGGCTCGGGATTAAAATTATTAATAATAAAAGTGTAAAGGGTGGAGAAAGTTTTTTCTCTTTTCTTTTTTTTTTTTTTTTTTTTCTTTTGAATATTTTGAATATTTGAACAGCGGCACCGTTTGATGCGCGCGAAAGTAGATTTTTGAATTTTAACGTTCGAATATATCGGAACGAATGTTTGGACGATTATTTTACACGGGCGATCGGTGAGGCGTGTAATTCGCGCGAGCAAGTAGTTTGTTTCACGAGTGGAGAGACGGGGAAACGAAAAAGGTAGCGACGAGATAAGTCCGGATAAGCAAGCTGTTTTGCTCATTTTTAACTAATTAGAGGATATGTAATGAGGGAATTTTTATATTTACTTTTTACCGCGTCGGATAAAATTTTTTGCAATCGTTACGCGTTGGCCGCGTTTTTGAAACGGATTTTAAATTGTCGATTCGTGGGTAGGATTATCCCGGATAGAGATATAAATCGTCTGGGTGAAATGATCGATAAATCGAGGAACGAAAAAATAAAATTAGAAATAGAATTTAATTATTATGTAATAGGATTACGTTACATATCTATTTCTATTTCTATTTCTATTTATAAAGAAACATCGCAAAATAAACGCACCTGAATTTAAACGACGTACGATTGAAATCGATCGTTTTCACCATCGAAATGAAAACTATTCGATGAATGCAAGAGAGAGAGAGAGAGAGAGAGAGAGAGAAAAAAGAGGAAAAAAAAACGTACTCGATTACCTGTTGGAAATTTACTACAAACATCGCATCTGCCCAAGTGTTTGTGTTTGTAAATTAAAATATCGTACGTTGAAAACTGGATGAGAGAAAAAAAAGAAAAAGAAAAAAAGAAATCGAAAGAAATAGAACGTGGAGCTTAACCTCGACACGAAACCGCAAATAGTTATGAATTCTCGGATCGTGAATGCGCAATCTGCGGAATTAACGTTGAATCGATCCATATGCGCCTCTTCTCCTCCCCCTCCCCTCTCCCCCTCCCCCGCCGATGACGTGGGAATCGTCATTGCACGCATTGACATCTCCATTATCGAGCGAGCATTATCGCGAAACCGCAATTCGTCCCGAATCCCCGTCGATTTTTTCCCCCTCCTCCTTCGTTGTCTCGCGTCCAGATAATGGCACGAGCGAGTAAGAGTAATTGGAGAATAATAATAAACGGCGAATTGTTACGAAGTTGAGGAAGAAGAATCGAGGTCCGCGGGGAGGGAGGAGGGAGAAAGAGATACGGCAACTCGATACGGCTATTCGCTCGTCGTTTAAGCGGATGCCTGATGAACCACGATGTCGTTGATTACGAAATTCTAGCAATTCTCTGTATTGTTACGTTTATTACGAATAGACGAAATTGAATTAATTTCGAAGATAAGGAAATGGAATAAAAGTATTTGGAAGCCGTTTCAAGAAGAAATATATATAGATTTATATAGACGAATTATTCGAGGAAAAAGAGATTTGATCGAAAGATTTGGCGTCATTTTTAGATCGTTTCGCCGAAAATATTATCAACCGTGTGAGAATAGATAATGTTAATTAACGCGGAAAGAATCGAGTTTACCTTCGATCGCCGTGCACCGTAATTATTGGCTAAAAGTTTTCCGCGTCTCGATCGAAATCGAGGAAATTAATACGCGAAACGTATCAACATCGATATTTTAATTCAAATACGGCGTTCGATTGAATTTACGTGCAAGCTTTCGCGCAAATTGCTCGTTTCTCCGGATTATTAACGTCTCGCCACGATCGCGATGAAGAATCGTCGAAGTTGTTGGCATCGTTTAAAATTCGCATTAAAACGAAGCAAGCCGATAACCGTATCGAGATCGAAAGGAGGGAAGCGAAACTGACCGATTTCGAATACGTACTGGTTAATATTCGTGGCAGATGCTAAGTAGTAGACGACCAAATTAAAATCACTTTCTTTTCAGCGGGACATTTTTAACGTAATATAAATTCCACCCGATCTAAAAGAGCTCAAAAAAAAAAAATCCAAGATGAAGATTAGGAAAATTGGAAAAAAATCTGAAACGTCCTATCGAAGAATCCCCGAACGTGGACAACCGTTCCTTACCTGCCAGCCTGTCCTTGAGGTGCGGGTGTCCCTGGAGCGGATGCGCGGCCAAGTTGGCCAACAAGCTCGCCCTGTGAAGACCGGCCGCCGCAGCCTGCTGTTGACTGTGTTGAAGGGCTTGCAAACTCCAGGGTGGTATCAACGCCTGTGCCGGCAGGGCGCCGGTCGCCGCTCCATTAGCGCCGGGTGGCCGATGGGCAGGAACCCTTATCACGCCACCACCCGTGTATATCAGTCCTGACCCGGTTGGGAAAAGTCTGAACGGCGCCAGCAAGTCGGTGGCCGAGGCGCAGTGGAGCGACGAGGTGGTGGAGTTGGTCTGGGTTTCGGCCGTGCTTCCGGTGTCGTCGTCGTCCTTCTCCGACAACTTCTCCTCGATCTCGTGCCCCCACGACCTCCTGCCGTCGTCGAGCGTGGCGGACGAGCCGCCGTTGTTGTTCCCCTCCTCCCACGACCACTTCCTCTCCTTGTCCTCGCCGTCCGGGTCCTCGGACGAGGGGCTCTTGGGGTTCTGGGGCCGATTCTCGCCCAGCAATCGGCTTATGCTGAACGGGTGGCTGCGGGGCGACTCGTTTTGCAACGTCCTCGAGTTGGTTTGACTCGGGGGCGGGGAATCGGAGCACTCGGAGTGGTCCAAGCGGCGGTTGCCGTCGTTGGCGTAATTGCGGGGGCTGCAACTCGCCGAGTCGGAGTCGTCCACGTTTATCTCTTCCGTCGCGTCCACGTCGCTGTCGCCGTGAATCGACATGATCCCTCGAATCGAATCGAATCGAATCGAATCGAATCGTTACGCGGCGTCGTTTGATCCTTCGTTCCCGATCCTTCGTTCACCGGAAATTGCTCATCCTGCGCTCATCCGGCTAGCTTCTTTCAGCTCGGTCCCTAAGTATTCGATACGTACTCTTCGAGATCGATATCGATATCGATCGTTACGCTTGAATCGTACGCTGGAGGAAGGAAGATGTAGCACGTTCATCCAGAGATCCGATTCGCTCGACGGCCATGTTGCCCGTCAAACGTCGTAGATTTCTTTTGATATTCCTCTGCGAGAAACTCTACGGAATCACGATACCGTCGATTATTCTTAAACGTCACTCAGTTGGGGCACTGTTTCCATCCGTCGAACAGTTTCGCTCAACCATGCACAAGTTATCACCAGTTAACCAGATCAGTCAGACTACCACCACTTTTCCTTACTTTTCGTTTCACTTTTCGTTTCGGGACAGAAAACGATGAACGGAAATGTATGCACCGTCCGTTCCGTCGTGAGCAACGAACGACGGGAAAGAAATATCACGAGGCCGGTCCCGATCGAACCGTGTGCGCTCTCAGCCCGGATCCTCGATCCTCTCGATACCCTTGGTCCATCGAGAGTCGCGCGATCCGACGAGCGGAAAAAGAAGGGAAAGAAGGGATCGATCGATCGCCAGATTTACGCGAGGGAGGAGGGGGAAAGGGGAAAAAAAAAGGGGGGAAAAGTCGACGAGACACGGAGTCGGACGGAAGAGGAAAGACCGGAGGAGGTGCTCACGTGGCGATCGAAAGGGCTGTGTTTTCCGCGCACGGGGAACTCCGGATCCGTGGTGAGTTGGGACGTGAATCCAGGTCGGCCGCGACGAGAGAGACGGGACGTTGTGAGGGAACCGGAGAGACCAGATGCTTCATCCCTACCACGGTTGTGCGGCGACTCGAGCCACGATCCGACGTGCCGACCCGCGGTATCGCCCACCACCGCGCCACGCTCCAATCCTGTCCAACGTGGCCCCGCCCACCCGCTCGCCTATTGGCCGCCGTTAAATTGATACCTATTTAACATTTGAGCAGAATGTTGCAGGCGATCGCCTTTTTCTCCTATATTATTTATTGCCCGATCGTCGTGCCTCCTTTTTTCTCTCCTACTATTTCCTCGCTTCTTCCTCCCTCCTCGAGCCGCACAACGGGGCACGTTCCTCCTCCTCCTCCTCCTCCTCCTTCGTCTTCTTCTTCTTCTTCTTCTTCTCCTTCTTCTTCGTCTTCGTACTCGTCTTCGTATTCTTCTTCCTCGACCCTCCTCGCCTTTTCTTCCACTCCTCGTTGTCCTCGTCCCTCTCGCTGCAGAAACGTGCCGCGTTCAAGAAGCGGAGGGACTTAATTACGACGAATATCCTTTTGGCCCCCTCCATATTTTCCCCTCGACCTCCCTCCTTCCCTCTTCCGCCGCGCTCCTCGCTTCTTTTTTTCCTCCACCGTTCTTTCGAACGGGCTCCCTTCTCTCCCGTCTTCGCTCCTCGTGCTCTTCCACCCTCCCTCCATCTCCTCGCGCCTCTCCTCGGCTTTTATCGCGATGTTGCAATGGAGTTTTGCCCCGTGTTGTGCAGCTAGGTATGCGCAGCCCGCAGAATGCAGCCCGAAGCATCGAGCAAAAGGCCAGCCAGCCAGCCACGCCAATTCGTCCCCCCTTCGACCTTCCAACACCGCGGAGCAAACGAGAAACCGATGCCGTGTTGCGAGTAAGACTCGAAACGAATGCACTTTCGCGTGTCTTCTTCTTTCTCTTCTTCTTCTTCTTCTTCTTCCTTTTCTTCTCCGTGCATTGTCCTGGGTAATGAACCGTTTGCACGATGAAAGTCGAGACCGAATCAAATCCGATTTGACGGATGTCGAATCGTTCAACTTTTCAGGTGAAAATTTTCCATCAATCAAGTTCATCAAGTTCATCTATAGTTCATCGAAATTAAAAAAAGAAATTGATCCCTCTTCCGATTTCTAATCCCTTTGCTCTCGAGAGAATTATAAATTGTCGCTCGATGACGCTGCGAGCGACAAAGGAAGTGTCGTTGGTTCGCTATTGATCGATAGTTTCTACCACGACGTGACGAAAGTATTGGTGTCTTCTCTCTTCTAGCCACCTCCTTATGTACGAGCCAATTTAAAATGGTGACCGTCCGCAAACTCGCCCCGCCATTTTCCTCCTCTTATCGAGCGATTTTATCGCTTCTCCAAACTGGAGCGTTGCTTGTTAAATCGTGATAAACGAGAGGAAAATTAAAAGCGAAACACGAGGAACAGGACATCCGTCAAATAAACGAACCTAAATAAATGTTTCTTAAATTCGTAAAAAAGAAATTTCATTCGTGTTTACTTCATCGCTTTGCGAAAATTTAACTCCACCATTTCTACGAAACTGTTAGATCGCTTCTCTAATCTGAGACGAGTAAAAAACAAAAACCGACGCGAGACGCGAATGTTAAATTCCTTTTTCCCCTCCTTTTATAATTAAAATAATAATTCAAAGATAAAGGTTGTTTAAACTTTACAACGTTACGACAACTCGTTGCAATTGCGCAGAAACTTGGTTGCGCAAGAAATATTTCGATCGGCAATTCATTTGAGACCGATCCGTGTCCAGCAGTGGCATTGCGCAACGAAAGCGTTGCGGTAACCAACAACAATAATGGCAACGAAATAATTTGCCGCACACGTAGTGGCGAAACGTCGACTTAAACCTTACCTTCTCACCTTTTGCATCGCCTCTCGTTTTCTAATAGCCGGCCGTTATTACGCGCGCATATGCACGATTCAAAATATTTTCTCGCTTTATTCAATCCCGTTCTGATGAAATATCTCGTGTTAAAAACGTGTGCGGAGATAGATAGATAGATGGATGGATGGATGGATTCGAAACAAATTGTTACGAACTGAAATTTCAAAATTCTTCTGGATAGGTTATTATTACACTTTTTTTTTTACATCGAAAAATTTTCAAAGCGAATTATTATCTATCCAATTGTCAATAATTACCGCTCGATACAAATTTTACTCGAAAATTGTATTCGAACGGCACAATCAATTATTTCGAAATGGATTTTAAATAATTACTCTCGGTTTTCCCTCCTCGGTAAAAGTACTGTTTGCCGTTTATTCAAAACGACATTTTATTCCGTTTCCAAACGGATGAATGAAAAATGAAACGAAGGAATAAACAACTGGGGAATAAACGATCAATATCGACGTTCATCGATACTAAGAATCGATTAGTTACTTTATCCTCCGAGAAATGGGATATCGCAGTGACGAGTGTTAAAAAACGTCCAGAATGGTGATAATTCAACCGCAACCTACCAAACGTTTCAAAGTAACGCGAAAAAAAAAAAAAAGAAGAAAGAAAGAAAGAAGAGATTACAAGTTCCTCGATCGATTTAACGTTGTCGAGGAATGCAATTTAATTTTGCTAATGTACTCGATGAATTTGAAAAATTAACCTACTAAATTCCATAAAGTAAGAAAAAAGTATTACTTGAAATATTAAAAAAGAAAGAAAGAAAACGTGGATATTTCCTTAAAGGTAGATAAACCTTTAAAATCGAACTTTACCGTCCTTATAAAAATTACCATCGAAAACTACTTAAACTAAACGGCAATTCTCGATTGAAAGAAAGTCGTAGACCAAAGGAACGAATGCAGTTGAAATTCGCCTCGAGACGAGGATAGAAACTTATAGACAAACAAAAAGCAGTTCGATTTACATTCGAGTTTCACGGATTAATGGGATTCCGTTGGGCGAATTATGCAAGGAAGGCTAGGTTTTACTCGCGCCTACACCCACCCTTCCAACCCCCCCTTCCCCCTCCCCCTTCGCCTCGATCCCGTTTCGATCGAGGATCAATTCGGATGTCAGACGTCCGCGTGTCACTTAGGCGTTTTCACCGACGCCCGAATAATTCATCCCAACCCTTTTAGAAACGCTTACAAATCCCGCGATAGCGTCGCGACAGAGGGAGGAGGGGGGCGAAAAGGTTAGCCAGAGGAGGGACGGGGGGACAAAGAGGGAGATGAAGGGGTTTTGACCGGGGCTGTCCTGTTGCAGGATGAAAGACGCGACGACGTGGAAAACCGTAGGTGCACGCGTGTTCCCCTCCCCACCTGAAAAGGATTATTCTTTATTATTCAAAAGATATCCAGCGTTTTTTAAGCTCTGGAAAAGCTAAGCGGGAGTGATTCGGGTAATCGGCCTGTTTTCTCCTCGAATACCTCGGATGACGAGCAATCGTTTTGAAATTTAAATTTTCGCCACACTGATTCTACAGTTTGAAAATTTTTCGTGCTCAAGCGAAATAATCGAGTCTTTTTTTTTTCTATCTATAATAAAGTTAGAGAAATTTATAATACTATATAATATGAAATATAATTTTACATAATATAAAATTTATAACAAAGGTAGAGAAATTTAAAAATTTTAATTACGCCGGATCGAGTCAAGCGAAATAATCAAGCCTGTCTTTTTTTTTTTCTATCTATAATAATTTTTTCTATCTATAAAAGTTAGATTTTAGTTAAATTTATAATATTATATAATATGAAATATAATTTTACATAATATAAAATTTATAACAAAGGTAGAGAAATTTAAAAACTTTAATTACGCCGTTTTGAAATTTAAATTTTCAAGTCAATTTTGAACCGAATACCTCGGATGACGAGCAACCGTTTTGAAATTTAAATTTTCGCCACACTGATTCTACAGTTTGAAAATTTTTCGTGCTCAAGCGAAATAATCGAATCTTTTTTTTTTCTATTTATATAAAGTTAGAGAAATTTATAATACTATATAATATGAAATATAATTTTACATAATATAAAATTTATAACAAAGGTAGAGAAATTTAAAAACTTTAATTACGCCGTTTTGAAATTTAAATTTTCAAGTCAATTTTGAACCGAATACCTCGGATGACGAGCAACCGTTTTGAAATTTAAATTTTCGCCACTCTGATTCTATAGTTTGAAAATTTTTCGTCTTCAAGCGAAATAATCGAG